CAAGTTCTTACTAGAAATAGGTTACGCTGGTATATATATATAAGATGGTCACAACGTGACGCATTAATGTGTAGATAGTGAGTAATTGATCTGCGGTCGGAGTATTATTGACGTTCGTTGCTATAGCGTTTGTTTAGCGGGATTGTTGAGTGTATCGGTTAAGTTATATTCGGAAAGAATAAACCAGTTTTATTAAGTAAAGACTTGTGTCGTTAAAGTTTCGTTGGAACGAAGTTACGGAAAAATCAATTAACAAACGGAGACGTAACAATATTTAACAGTATAAGCTGTGCATGTTTCTAAATATAAAATTAATCCAAACAAACGTTGATATTAAAATAAATATATAATATCAAATTCGTTACACATCCTAGACTTGTTTAACAATAAAGGGCGTTTTATACACCGATCATCAAAGAAATACAGTTTCATTTACTCAAAAAACCTGGGTCGTCTTATACATGGAACTTCTTAAACTTCTCAAATACTGTCAAATGATTCCGTGTCAGTTTTGTGACATTTTTTGCGCATGTCTAGTAGTGCAGACGGGTACAGAGTGTTTTTAAACAGTATTTCAAGATGTCTGTTACCGTCGTGTGAATGTTGTATATTATAACGTTTAATAATATTGAGGTTCAAGTATTTTAGACCTCTTGTATCGTCACGGAAGCGTAGCCAACTCTGGTGCGTAAGTTACTTTAAGTTAGTGTTAGGGATGTTCTTATTACGTTTATTTTATTTTTATAATTTTATGAAATATTGGAGAAAATTGTCTTTGTGATGGGCCGTCGAAAAAATCTAAATATACTTTTTATTAAAGTAAATTAGTAAATAAAGCATGTGTATCGGAGATACACTTTCTAGCCTTAATACTAGTAGTAGTACAACTAATAGTAATAGTCAGTAGCCTGCATAACAGTTGTAATTTTCTTGAATGATGCAAGATTATGCTGTGCATAATCGAGACTATAGTATACGTAATATACGGACAACTTCAACTTTCAGGGGACCAGTTTGGTCTTCAAAGTTCGAGTTCAAATACAAAGCTGTTTCTGTACGCTCACATCCAAGGAAAGGAAAAGATTATAATCATTTTGTAACGGACTAAAGCAAAACGCCGCTATAACCATGGTCGAACAAAAAAGCAATTTGTTAAACTGTAACAACAACAGAAATCTAAAATAAAACTTTTAAACAATTCAGATATAAATCTTATAACTTAAAAAGACAACAAAAAAGTTAATAAATACGTGCATCGTTTGGACTTGATACAAATTTTAATAAACCATATAATACAAATATCGATGTTATTAATTTCAATAAATAAAGGAATTATGGAAACCATAAGAAAAAAATAAAGTTAATTCCAAGAAAACTATTTCAAAAGTAAACCACTTCAACTTCAAGATCAGTGACAATATCAAGCAACAATCAGCAATAATTCATTATAACTGTACCTTGTGAACTAACTCATTTAAGCTCAGGCAGCATTTTTATTTAGTGTTATACCAAGAGGTTATATCTCATAACTAGCTAATTTATATTATCCTTCACAACAATATCTGTATATAACTGCAGGATAAGCATTTGTCAGTTTCGTAATTCAAACACTCAAATTCAATGTGTTCTAACTAGAAAGTAAGTTAGACCCTTAATATAACTAAAAATTCATAGTTTATCTAAACAAAAGAAGGTATAATAAGTGAACAGTAAACAAAACCATAATAAAATGAAAGTAGAATTTGCTATCTCACAATTTTAATTCTTTGGGAAATTATGGATTCTCCACTTAAACACTTGTAAAGTGCTAGCCTCCACTATTGTCAACAGCACTCATTTCTTAATGAAAGTAATCTGTCACAAATGTAAAAAAAATAAAACTGTCATAACTAGATCCTAGCTTGTCTTTTCAAAACTAAATTTTTTGTTCTGTTATATTCAAGATATAACACAAAGAAGTATGGGCATCTGCAGAAATTTTTCTAGGGGAGAGGGCAAAATAAAGGGACGATGGGTCCACCTTCAAAGTTGTGCCATTACAGTCAAGAGAATAGGCAAGTTTCCACAATCAGATTTGTTGGTTTTAATATTTGTAAGGTTAGTTTTAAGCCATACTGCAGATATGCAGCAATATATACTCTATCATACTAAATTTTGGTTTACTCCGACAACGCTGTCTCATGGGATGTCTGTAAGATTGCGTCAGTCTCTTTGATAACATGCTGCTGGTATTACTGCAGATGGCAGCAGGATGACCTCGATCACACCACTTCAATTTTAAAATTCAAATATGTTGTTGGATTGTTGAATGTTGACTTGAATACTTCTTTTACAGTTAATACTTGTGTACTTCAGTAACCAAAATTTTGTACCTGTTTTTGAAATATTCTTCCTTACTGTGAAAGCTGTAACTTGTAATAAAATAATACTTATAATCAGTAAGTTTACTCAAAACAAACCTATTAAGATTATTACCATGTTTTTGTTTTGTGATATGATATTTCACTAAATGGTTTTCTATATCTTCTATAATCACACTAGAATTTTTCCTGCTACAGAAGTAAGATTATTTGACCTATGATTTCCAGGGCAATTCCTATCAATCCCTTTATAAATAGGAGTAACATTATCAACTCATTTCACAGGTATCTGCCTACTCTCTGTCTAACAAATATGAAAGAGATAGGCATGCATATCTGATATGTGATCTCCTTTAATGCACTGTAGGAAACCTTTTCTGAACCTAGTGCTTTATTTTCAAACTCTGTGGACATGTGTGCATATCTGGAAAATCTGAAAATTTTCCTGAAAAGCCAGGGAAGAAAGTTTGGAAAGAATGTGAAACTTTTACTACTCACCAACAAGGGATTGATATATCTTTATGTTTGAGATTAATTTCAGTATTTCTGACAGGGTCAGGAGTATTGCTAATATAGTTTCTTTTAAAAACACAAGAGAATGTTTAAAAACCCAGTCATTTCATAGTCTTAAACAAAAACCTTGTCGTAAGCTTTATGCTATATTCAGTTGTTATCAAGTATATAATTATAAGTTGTAGGTTTTGAAAAATGTAGACAAATGCAGTGGTTTCATTCATAAAAAAGTATATATATTTAACAGTATTATGAAAAATACACTAATTGTGAAATAAATATAGTAAATAATTCATACCATATGAATATAAAGGCTAATTGTACTTTTTTGAATGTAATCAAGTATAAAATTTGTAGCAAGTGAAATAATTAATATATAAGTATGTGTGGCATCTCAGTTTAATTAGGAATGGTTAAATACATATTTTTTATGCTACGGGTGAAATAAAAACAATCATGTAAGTGTGGAAAGAAACCTTACAACTTACATGTACTTCAAGAATAAGGTGAAGCTCTTATTGATCTAGGAAAACATACTGGCTTAGTTATAACAAAATCACATTAAGTAAGCATTAGTCATTTTTAAACAAAAGTTATTACAATTGTAAGTTTAACAAAACATTAGAAAATTTGTAAAATTAAACAAAGATCGTGTACTTTCAACATTTTTGTAACAAAAGTGCATCTCATAGTTAAGGGCAGAATTATATCAAAGTGTTAACAATGAAGTTAGACTTGTTGACACATAATGGAATAATGTAAAGGGTTTTTATTTAGTTAAAAGTATAAAAGAAATTACTTCATGAAACTTCATACAATACAAGGATATAAAAAAATCAGAACTCTCATTAACCATAAAATCACAAGTATACAGTCATTTTTGATGTGGAATTTCTATGCACCATTTTTATTGCAAGAAAATATTGATAAGAGTTTTCCAATTCATATCACCTGAGGCCTGGTCAACAAGTTTTCCATTTCACTTTATCCATCAGACAAGTAGCTTTTATTTGAATTTAATTTTTATCTCTTTTTTTTTTTTTAATAAAACTTTGATATTACTGTGTCATCCCATTATATAACTCAAATCACACTGCTGCACTGTTATATATATTGCACAAGCATTAATAATTAAAATACAAAATATAATGTAGCAACAATAACTCAAGGGAAGCTCAGAAGTTTGCTATTGTTTAATGTACCTATGTGTTGAATGTGTTCTGTTTGCTGGTCAGACATACATGTGTGTGATGATAGTTTGGGGGCATGTGTTAGAGCAATATAGCAGACACTTTTATATGTGTGTTTGGATGTGACAGGTTGAAAAGGGTGTTTTATTGAGGTTAATAAAAATTAAACACGGATTCTTTATTGCTAGTACTGTGAAGGGAAGGTGCTACAGTATCTTCAGTTTGGTTAATATAAACCTTAAAACACTTCAACACATCAGTTTTTGAAGTAAGTACTCTACCTAAATAGTTTACCTGGTAAAAAATACATTAAATGTACATATATTCCAGGATGTCAAATTCCATTAGCAAAGTGAAAGCAAGAACAGAAAAAACAGTTTGAGGGAAGTCAAAGTGGAATACAGTATACAGTCCTGTGTCAAATTCAAAATTATCAAATTAATAAATGATCAAAGTAACTAGTTTGACACATAATTTGTATGTAGCTATGGTAATGAAACCAACTTGCACATAAACAGAAAAGCACAATAACTTTCATCTAATTTGCATTGCAGTAATTTAATTTTTTGCTGGTTTTTGTTGAACTGCATTTTAAAGAATGCCCATTCATATTTCACTACTCAGAAAATTCTGTCTAAAATTTATTCAATGTTTTTTTCACTGCCAAGGAACTGTTTTAAGCCGGTAAGGACACACAAATTGCATACTCTAAGAAAAACTAGTAAGTGCAGTATAGAAGTGGAGCCCAAAACATTAGAGTTCAATCTTGAGTGTAACGCATTAATCATGTCTCAGAGTCTTTTAAATTTTGGTTCAGTAAAAATCGTGAAGATAAAGGGGGTAAAAAAAATAAAGCCCTGTAAACCAACTACCAGTGATAACACTACAACTGTTTGTAACAGCAGTCAACTCTCTGCCACAAAAAAAAAATAAAAAATAAGAGAATATTTCAGTCTCATTGGAAGGAAACTTGGCCATGGTTAGTTCATAAGGGAAGAGTCCCACTGAGAATCAGTCTCCAAACTGTATTGAGAAGTTTACCTGAAATATCCTACAATAGTGGGTAGTCAATCTATATCAAGCAACAATGCTTTCTTGAATGGTTGGGACCAGTTCTGTATTGAGCTAGTCAGAGCACACAAAACCAACAAAGCTCGCATGGCATGTGTATTCTGGTATAATTAGGAGAATAGAAAATTATACAGTACTATTATGGATGGAGAGAGCGAGTTCTCCCACTTCTATAGCTTAGTCCAAGGGGAAAGCTCTTGTTGTGCAGACAATGCACAAACTGAAGAAGGTGGAAAAGAAGATATTAATATTGTTTAGCAATTCATAGTTAATTGGTAGACAAGGCAATCCTCCACCAGACATGGAAATTCTGTGCAGAACAATGGAGAAGGCTAGTATGGATGTAGGAGACAATTACATAGATGGAAGGAAAATCTCTGCACTTGTTAGGTGTGAGGCAAAAGTCTTTAGATGTGACATCGAGGATATAGATAGTGGATCAAGGTTCATATGTATTGTAGCCAATGGGAACACAGACAGTCCCATCATTGAACAGAAAACTGGGCTAGTAAAGGTTACTGAAGGAAAGCTCTGTACAGTATTAGCAAAT